TGGCATGTTGGTGCAATCTCTTTTTTCTAAACCAATCATCTAGTAATCCCTGAATTCCTATCAGACTGTTTGACTGCCACTGCACTAATATTTTTGGAATATTATCCATACAGATCGTAATATTTCTTTCTCAAGTTCACCACCTTCTACATTTAAGCAAGAATTGTTCTGTTCTTTGTAGAGTCTGCTCTATCTGAACAGCATCTTCTTTACCCAGCCTCTCAGTCTAACTAGAGGTTCCTGAAACATCTCTGGAAGTTTGCTATCCTGAATAAGTGTCACTATATGCCATTCACTCTGTTTTCTAAAGAACTTGTCAACACATTTAAAGAGCACAGATGACAGATGTTAACCTTCCTCTACCATGGGAGTTTATTACCTATTAACATCCTTTCGTTGCTAACTAATTTTGATCCAAAAGAGTATATTTCCTCTTTTGTTTACTTTAAAGGCTTCAATGAAGGAACCTGATGAATAGTTTTGCCTGGATCAGCAAGCTTACTGGCTCCTTCAAAATATTCTAACAATTTCTTTTAATTTTCATCTTTGAGAACTGTACCAACTCCTCTTTAATACTATATTTCCCCAGGGATATAGTTAGTCCACTCTTTCTTACAAGTGCCATGAATCTGTTTAAATTAAACTTATTGATCTATGCTCTCCAGTTCAATCTAGAATTTAAAAAAAATGCTGCTCTGCTCCACCTCTCTGACTCAGAAGACAAGTTATGCCACTGGCTATGAAAAATAAATCCACAATTTTGCACTGGCTATGAAAAATAAAACCACAATTTTGCACCCAAAACCCCAAAGAATTACTTTAAAAGCACCAGAGAAATATCTTCTGATTCTGGGATATTTTTTTTTGGAACATTTCTTTTGTTGATATGTTTTGAAATCAATTCCATTTCAACTAGAGAATTCTTTGGTCCCATTCAGCAGTAAGAACTGACTCATGTGCGAAAGAGTCCTTAATTCCTTACACAATAAACGCACATGGAAGTAGCTGCCTGATTTTTGTGCTCTGGCCTTACCTTCCAACCCTCAGCTGCCAATTTGCCCTACTGAAATTGAGGCAGGCTTCCATTTCTGGGTGGGGTTTTTTGGGTTACTTCAAGTTTTATCCACTCTATCCCCTAAAACAAAAAAAGATCAGTTGAACGCTTCCTTGTCAGAATTCAGTTCCATGCCACTGCCTCTCTCCCAAAACAAAACTGTGATTTTTTTAAATATGACCTTTTAATACTCTCTTTACACTGCTGCTTTTCTGGATCATCTTAGAATAATTTCTAGCCAGCAGGGTAAGTGCCTTATAATATTTTTAAAACAGGCTTCATGCTGCATGTCAACTTTTAACCTTTTACCTTTTTTTTACCAGACTCTGAATTGTAAAGTTAAATACTGCAATGATTTCTTTTTCTCCTTACATGGACATAATTGCCCAAGAGTAACTATTAGTGCCTTAATTTAGGATCCTGCTCAAGGGTTACATCTCTATGGGTTTCTCTGAAGAGTTGTTTCAATAAGCTTCCATTTAATATCCAAAATGACAGTTTGCCAATCACACTATACCATGACTTTTATCCAAAACAAAGGAATACTGAAGCCTTCCATTTCCAGAAGAAAAGATATAATCTCCAAATTTAGCATTAGATCAGCATGACAAGGTCCTGTGGATTGCTTCCCAAAGTCTACCAACACCCACACAGTGGACAAAGCACAATGCTGGGAAGGATAGAGCACATCCAAGTACAACTTTGGGGTGTAGTTACCCACAGGTGGGTTGGAGAAGCCCTGGTGCTTTGCCCTCAAAGAAAAGCCAATGAAGGCTCATCCCTGCCATGCCCAGGACCACTCTATCAATCTGAGTTTACAAGCACTTCTTCCTCCCTACAAGTGAAAAGCACTTTAGTAGGAGTACTGAAACAGTTGTTTAAGCAGAAAAGATACATCCACAAATTTAAAGTTTGAAAGCCACATGCACTGAAAGGTCAAGCGCAATGACTGAAGTCAGTCAATTGTCATCCAACAAGAAAGGCAAACCCAAATCCAAAAGAACCAGATACAGAACTTAGATCTATCAACAGCAGTTTAAAGAAAAAAGATTTTGACAGAACATAATAGAGGAACCTGCTATCTTCCACAAGGCAGTAAAACACTAAGTATCCTTCAAAGATGAAGAGGGTGCCTTAGAAAACAGTGAATCAGGACGACAGGTACATTTTCTCTTCTTTATTAAGAAAAAAAAAAAAAGCAGTAACAAAAGCCTCATCACAAGATATCTTTTGGGAACCAAATGCCAAAAGCTGACTTAGACATTTCAATTCCATAGCTAACCATTAATTTATAGGAAACTCTACAAGTACAAATTTCTTAGGCAATTTAACTAAGCCATGAAAAAAGAAAATTTGAGCTTTTTATCTGCTTTAAAAGCAACCTGTGATCTTTGATGATATAATTCACACTTGGGAAAGGTATGTCAGACCAACACAGCTAGATTGTATAGACTGCATATCTAAACCCATTATTATGTTTATTATGTATATATCTAATATGAGCATATTACACCTGATAACCTTTCATATATTTCTCTTGATATACATACTTCCCACCAATTGCTAAATATATAGGTCAAGATATGAAGGGGGACACATTCTAATCGTTATCCTACTTATTAAAAAATATTAGTTACTGATGATGCAATAATTTAACCATTTCTTCCTGGGTGAGCATCTCTTGCCCATTTCTGCTAACATATATTATCAGTGGTAAAGAATTTAATTTCTCACAGCAGCTGAAATTTAATTGATTCTGTTCTTTCTTCGCTCTTCCAGTAATACAGAGGAAGAAAATAAAGCTTAAATAAAAGCAAGAGGAACAATACAAGTAATAGCAAGCTTTAAGTCTTGAATTCACACTTCCTCCCCAAAAGACTCAGTACATGGAAAGCACGAAAGCTGAAATATGGACCAATACACAGATACACCAGATAATATTACTACATTTTTCTCCATGGCTTTTCTCAAGAACCTGAGACATTAAAAGTGATGTATTTATTGTACAATAAGCAAGAGTATGGGGAACGTTTCTTGGTACGTGAGAGGCGATGCATCTGTTTGTGAACAGGGACGTGACGCAGTTGTCACATTTTAAGGTGGTTTCAACAAATGTACTTATGTTGCACAGATGCTCCCACTCAGGACTGACACAACCTGCAATCTTGCACCTCTGGGGTCACTATCTAAAATAAATATTTTCAACTGCACTGCACCTAATGGAGGAGGGGAGAACCAAACCACCCTGTCCTTTGTATCAATTACACAGATGGCTTGGCACAACTGGCCAGGCTTTCTCCAGAAGCCAGTGATTCAGCAGGATAGGTATGGATAGGACAGGTCAACAGAAGGTATAGGAAAATGCTGTATTAACTGGCTGTAATTATGTCAGATGAAGCCATCAAAGCCTGATTACCTTTACAATAGTTCTGCATCCTAAACACCCAGGTTCAAAGAAATACTGCAACCTCAGGCAGTAATTGTGTTAGAATGAAGCAAGTCCTAACTGCAATTTTAAACAACCAGATGCATAGGTCACATTTAACAAGCTGAATTATTAAGTGATTAGAAATCAGCAGGCTTTCCACTGCATCATAAAGTATCTGATAATTTCTTATTAATTCTTTTCCATTGTCTGAAGAACTTAATTTCTTAACACGAATTGCACTAAAGGTACAAAAATTTAGCGATTCTAAACACCACATGTTCAAGCAGCACTAATGAGTACAAGTTTCCAATAGACTGGTTTTAATATTTTCTACTTTTACCCTTGCAATTTGTTCAAAAAAATCAACAGGTTAAGCAATCCAAAATGAGGTACAACTTACTGCGAGCAAAGCTTTCCAACTTACTGGAAAACATGCCGATTTCCAAAACATACTATGGGATTCCAAGGCTTTAATTAAGACCTGCTGAAGAAAAATACATCCTTGTCGTTTCTCAAGGTCTCCTATTATATAAAAAGTTAAATGACCAGATTCACCCCTTCAAATTCAGCGAGACCCTGCATTACTAGGAACGTCAGTCCTAAAAGCAGAGTGCTTGCATACAGTCGTGAATTCCAGCAGACCAGGCCTGCCATCACAACCGTCCACACTGCCACCATCAAACACAGTTCAACATGAAAACTGCTGAGATCAAAATAAAATTATCTGTAATTTGAGCAAACACAACCTAGGAATTCTTTGAAGCTCTACCTATGCTATGCTCTTAACTGACAATTTAGGTTTAACAAATATATTTTAGGATGCTTTGGTTGCAAAGGATTATTCTCTCCACATTACTAATATGACACATTTGATGGGATTCAGAGGAAAGAACTTAATATTTTACAGCATTTTTGTGGCTAATTTAAAACGTTTTACTTTTTCTTCTGAGAAGTATAACGTTTGACTTTTAAAGGCCCCCCGCGAGATTACCAAGGAAGGCCACAAAGAAATAGATCAAGGTGAATTTTCTCCATCAGAACTAGAACCTGAGAACAGCAGCCAATAGAAAGGGCGGCAGCACCTTCCCACTCGCTCTTTCCCGGCGCTGTCAGCTCCTGCAATCACCGGGCTCTGCCCCGCGCGGGCGGCGGAAAAGCCCCGCGGAGCCGGAGCCCGGCGGTGCCCCCGGTCGGCCCCGCACTCGCTCCGGGCAGCGCATCCGGGCGGGACGCGCCAGGCCCGCAGGCCTCGGGCACCGCTCCCGCCGCGGCCCCGCCGGGCCCGCCCGCGCCCCGCTCGTCCCCCGCCTGCAGCAGAGCCCACCCCGGTGCTCCCCCGCCCGTGCGGGCATCCCACGCCCCCGCACGGCGCCGGGCAGCGCTTCCGTCCCCACCCGCGGGCAGGGCAGCCCGGCCCGCACACGGAGGGCAACGCTCCCCGCGGCGGGGCCGCCTCTCCCTCTCCGGGCACTCGTGAGGGGGTCGCGGCCCGTCCCCGCGGGGCAGGGGGACGCTCACCCTTGACGGCGCGCTCGCTGGTGGCGTGGGGCGTCAGCAGCAGCACCTTGCTCCCCTCCTTGGCGGACATCGCTGGGCGCTGCCGGGCTCCGGCGGCGGTGCTGGGCGCGGCAGCGCCTTCGTCCGCCCGTCCGCCGGCGGCTGGCGGGGCGCGGCGGGGCGGGCGGGGGCGGCTACAGGCGCCGGGCGGCGGCGGCCCGGCGGAACATGGCGGCGGGCGCGGCTCGCGGCTCCTGGCGCAGCGCGGGGACGGTCCGCCCCGGGCCCGGCATGCACCGCGCCGCCGCCCGCCGGGCACCGCGGGAGCGCGCGGGACTCCCGGCCCCGACCGGGACCGCGCCGACTCTCCCGCCCGTGCCGGGGCGGCGGCGCGGGGCGGGGCGGGGAACGCGGCCCGGCGCCTCCCGGCACGGCCTGGGGAAGCGAGTGAGGCGTCCGGAGCGCCCCCGCCCCGGCACGGGCGGGCGGCGGGCCGGGGCTGAGGGGGCGGTGCGGCGGGCGGCCCGGCCCCCAGCGACCCCGCACCGCCGGGAGAGGGCCGGCGGCCACCATGGAGAGCTCCGCGGGGCCGCCCGGGGGGCCGGGGGCGGCAGGGCCGGGGGAGCCATTTTGTGAGGTGGCGAAGCCCTCGGTGCCCCCGGGCACGACCGCAGAGCGAGGGGGCCCCCTGCCCTCAGCGGGCGCCTCTCGCCCACAGCGCGGCTGGAAGGGGCCCCACGGCCTCACCTGTCGGTGCAGGGCGGGCCGAGGGCAGGACGGGAAGGAGAAAATAGAAATTTTTCCCCCACACTGGACTGGCAGTGTAGTTGAGATCACAGAAATTGGCTGGGTTAAAAAACCAACCAACCAAAAAAAAAAATCACCCAACAAACAAAAAAAAGTCCTAAAGAAAATAAACAAAACAATAATTAACCAAAAAGCCCCAACAAACAAACACACACCAAAAATGTTCAAATTGTGCATCACTTAAATATCTTCCAACACATCCAGCCAGATCTAGCAAACATCTAAACATGTACATATAACCATATTTAATCAAATGCACTATATCTGAAGAGTTGCTGGTTTGCATTTCAGCTATCCCTACAGCTCTTATGCATTATTTGTACTGACCTGTGCAATCTATTCTATACAATAAACCAGGAATTTAAGAAAGAAAAACCACTCAGAGGTAACAATTTCCAGCAAGGTCTTGGTTCTTGCCCCATTTAGGTCCAAGGAAAAAGAATGACACCTGAGGTGAGGACCTGCCACGTTAAGTATGAAAAGCTCTTTGGCTCAAGCAAAAAGAGACTGAAATTGATGTGTTACACAAGAGCTTGGGTTGACCTTGCTTTTTTTATTCAATAGCCAAGACAGTCCAACAAGAAACGTTGAATGAAACATCACTGTAAAGACATTCAAAGATGCAACTGGAAATTTTAAGGGAACAAGAATTACAAACCCTTGGAGTATTTATTAATGACACTTGTGAGACTCCAAAGTTTTGAAAAAACAAAATTCTACTAATTCTACATCCACAAATAAAATACATGCATGCACATAGAAAGAGAGCTGGGATACATTAGAGCATCATGGAAGAAATCCTGGATGGCTATTTTGGATTTAATCACTAAGCCATCCAGCCGCAGGAAATACTACTTTATACCACATATTCTGCAAGTGTCTGTCATTGTACAACCAATTCGAAGGGTCTGTTTTTTAAATAGGACAAAATCTCGTTTGCTTCAATATCATGGACATGTATCCACTCAGAGGTTGGAATGAGAGTACGGACAGGAAGGGAAGTAAATGTTCCTCCTATTGACTTTAGCATTAGATTAAAGCAGATCTGCTGGAACAAGAAGCACGGGTAATAAATTCAGTCTCTTATTTAAAATCAAGAGAAGCTCAGTAATAAATGCAGTTTGAATGTCTGACAGCATGAAACAGCAGAGAGATTCTCATATTATAAAGAAATTCATTTATCCATACAGTTCCAAACACACAGGGAGCCTGAGACCTTGCTGAGTGTTGTCAGGAATCTCCTCTTCACCTCACCTGAAGTGCAACTGCAAGAGAAATGCCTTACTTATTTCAGCTGCTCACTTCCCTCAGGAGCCTGTAGCCATGTCCCCTGAGGTGTGAAGTAAAAGGGGCTGATGCAGTCAGAATTCTAGTTGAGGAAAAACCATAGCACAATATTATTTTCTTATGATGCAGTGCCAGAAGGAGACATTATCAGCCTCTAGGCAGCATACCCAGTGCCCTGCATGCTGAAACACTTCCAGTTATATCCAGGCATTACCTGAAGAAAACACATAGATCAGATCTTGCTAGGTTCGCAATTCCACCCCCAATACATTAGGTTGATATAAAAAATGGTGTTATGTCTCCCTACAAACCACACCTCCTTAAAACATTAAAAATAATGATCTGATTTTTTTTTGTAACAACAGCTAGAAAGAGAAGTTAGCTAGCACAGCTACCTTGCTATTTTATAGTCATTTTTCTGACATATTCTATCTTGCCTCATTAAAATACAGAGCATATGCCACTGTCATTAGGACAGTATCAAAATCTTCATTAGGCAGGAATCTGTAGTTCCCTCTCCCCCTAAGCTCTTTACCTCGTCATTGAAGCTTTTTCATGTAGTATTGTCTCTAAATCTGCTAGAGACTCTGAAGGGGCACTGACGTTGCCCCAATTTACCTCATGATGAAGGCAAAGATGATTGATTTGATACATCTTGTGCTCAAGTAATCAAACAATTTCCACCAGCACCACAAGTACCATGATTACAGAAAATTAGGAACACAATTACAAACAAACATGACCTTGCAGGTAGAGGTCAGTGTGCCTTTATAATCCTGTTTCCCACAAATACCAGACAAATAGAAGCAATTCTGGAAAGCTGAGTCACATTTTACTTCCTGTTCAGCTTTGCCACCAAGTGGCCATTCCATTCCACACATTTTAACACTGAATTAAAAAAAAAAAAAAAGATAAAGAAAAATAGCTAATTCATTCCTGTTCTGACTGAACACTCCATACCATTACCTAGCTGCCAGCACTGGACTGCTTTCCAAATAACTGCTTTCATAATGGAGAAACAATTTAGCAGGAGAAGCACGCAGAATAATCAAGCCAATCCATCTTCTTCTGTACTACAGGGAATGGAGCCATTTGGGATGCAGATGATCCTTGACTTCCTTCTGCTCCATCTCGAAGAAGTACCCGCTGAAGCTGCATGTAAAAGCTGTTTAAATGAAAAGGTGCTATGTGAAAACCTAGACTTTTCTGACACCTCTCCTGACTGAGGCCTGTAAGGTATAGAAGCAAATATATTTTAGTAAATTGTTGTCTCAGACAAGTGCTGTTTATTGAAGTTGAGGCAGAAGTTAGACATAAAAATGGATGTGTGAAATTCTGTAACCATCTCTTGCAGGAGGGCGGATGATCAGAACAGTCTCTTCTGACTCTAACAGCGACATACCTTAAAAACTGGCACAATGCAATGTCCCAGAATCATCTAATTACCCAACAAGAACTTCAACTAAGAAAGAAATTGAATCACAGGAGAGAGAGATATATTCCAGATCCCAAGAGAAAGATGCACAGAGCAAATCTTGCAGAGATAAACCAGGTCTGAGAGGGGAAGACGTGCTATAAGCAGAAGATGAAGACAAAACTTTAAAGTTGTTCCATTTCATTGACTCTCACTAGTGACTGTTTGAAACTGTTCTTTCTGAATTGCCAGAAATGGTATTGTGATTGGCATAAACTCTGAGACTGCTTCAGAACAAGGCACGTTTTAAATACATTTGGACATGTTGCTGTACTGAGTTTCAATAAGAATACTTGAAAGCTTTCTTTAAAGAGGACATAAGACTTCCCTGCTTCCCAAGTAATTTTTTTATGGCAAATCTTATTATATGAAGGCATCTTTCAAAAAGGTTGAAACCATGGTCTTAAGTCATTTTCTCCAGCATCACGAAATCATTATCACTGCAATACTCCAACTGCCAATGTCATCCAGTACCAAGAAGCTGCACTGACTTAAAAAGAGAAAAACAAAAACCAAATTATCAGACAGTTGCTGGTATAAATGACAAGCTACTTTACTACTACAGTCTATCCTGTCACACTCCCTTCCTGCGCACACTTCCCGCCTTCCCCAATAAACTCTCTGAACAGGCTGAGGGAGCACAGGCTATGTTAGAAAAGCTAGTCAAGGCCACAGTCAATACTTGCATCATATCACAACTGTGAAAAACAGGTTAAAGCAACCCAACCTGACTCCAGAATTTTAGGTGATTTTTATATACCAAACCCGATCAGCCACATCAGGTGCCCACACTATTTTAAAACTCACACCTCTGGAGTGATAGTACCTCTAATTCTTCTTTAGGTTCCTCAAAACATCACTCACTTTTTCTGCTTAAAGCATTCCTTCCCCCGCTCTTATTATCTAGTTCAAACTTTTCCTTCCTTAGCCTTAAGCGATTGCTCTTTCTCCTGCCATCTGAGACCAAGCAATTCCCTCTCTTCATTTATCTTACTACCTTGACGATATTAATAGAGTATTAATAGTCACCTCTACTCACTCTAAAAATTGAGTTCACTCTGCTTTTTGCTGCCCTCCTTTGTGTTCTCTCATTTCCTCAGTGCCTCCACAAGCGAGACTTAACTGACAAAGTATTCAAGGTAAGCAGGTCTGTGTATAGGACCTTATAAAAAAAAACAACAATCACCTTATTGCTCTGTAATAGGAACTATGATATAAACCAGTGTGATACTTTTTTTTTTAATTAACTTTGATGATTCTATGTTGATCCATGAAAACGATGTCCTACAGACCGGAGAAATCCCATTAATCAATTTTAAAGGAAAATGTGAGTGGAATAAACCAACAAAAGGCAGATCTATGTTGACTCAGTTGCTGAAGAGTATACGCACTCTTGTCACAAACACATCTGGCCATTGTTACTGCACGGCCAAAGCACAACTGTGCTTTCAGCTTACCCCTCTGCACCCTTTTCTCAAGCTCCTGAGACAGAACACCATTAAGTATTAGTAAGAATTAACTGTTACATCGGGACTGGATAGGGTTGAAAAAAGGGTTGAACAAAAAATGACCCTCATAATTGGACAAACCTGAGGTCACGAAGAAGGAATGCAGAAAAGTGTATCCCAAAATAATCCCACATAAACATTTAAAAGCTTTTCCACTACATATTTGTATGCAAATAGAAAATTATAAAACCATTGGAAAGACATGGGCTTCCCCCCACCCCTGCCCACCACGAGAAGACATTACAATTTTATTTTCTGGTCTGCACTACGTAGCTCTTCACATGAATTACATCCTTGTGTTCAAATCAGTAATTTACTGTGGAAAATCAGTTAAGACTCCCACACCCATACCTTCCTCTCCCTCTTGAGTAAGGGGTCAAATACCTGTTATATCTGCTACATTAAATAGCTCCTTTGAAGCCTCTAAGGGCAGTTTCCAAAACCAGTCTAGAGCACTGAAATCGTTGTTTAATATCAACTGAGATTTTTTTAATCCATCTGGAGAAACTAACTGAATTACAAAAAAATAGAAATGTATGCATTATTTAATTCTATTAGGAACAATTAATACATTGTGTCATGAACAATTAGTTGTTTCTTCTTAAATGTACTTAAAAATACCCAACTAAAATCTTGTAGCTGACTTAGCTGTCATATAATGTTCACTTGCATTTGATTGACATATTTTATAGCTTCAAGAAAGTCAGTCTGAACCTTTACAAAAAGCCATAGTATGCTGTATTGGACCTACAGGAATTTCAAAGCAATTTATTTTAAAGTAACAAACCATGTAATTCCATAGCAAACAGAACCCAGAGATTTTTTAAAATAGTACAGAAGCTGTGATGGTAGGTTATAGTCATATTTATCTCTCTCACAACCTATACCTTATCAGACAAGTGAAGTAAAAATATACATTCATTAGTTAAATTAGACTTTTGTGCAGCATTCCAGCCAAGTAATTCAAGATTAGTAAGTCAAAATTTGTAAATCAAATCAAGTCAATTTTGTTCAGCTACTGTTTACTCTTCACATAGATAGTGCATGTTAAACATGCTCATGCTTTAATGTGCTTTTGGCAACTTAAGACAATCTTGAATAGTTTGATTTTAAATTTTGTTTTGTAATCAACAAGAGTTCTATGCTTGGAGCTCCCTCAATTGACAGTCACATAATGAACTGGTATAAATTTTGAGTAAAAGCCTGGAATGACAGATAACCCTAGACTGCCACCAAGTAGTAAAGAAGCTGAAATTTAGCAATATGAAATGATTCTTAGATTTATTATCAAAGTTCAGCTTTATTGTACTCATTTTTCTCATGTATTCATATTTAAAATTATTTTGATTAGTGATATATACACACACAAAGCTTCTGAAGCCTGTGGTTCACTGGTGAATCATCTGGGCCTGGGCCAGCCAAAACTTAACATAATCCTTCTTCAACAAACCTGCTGTAAGTTAGTTTACAAACAGATACTTGATCTTCTTATTCACAAGTATATTCAGTATTTACTCACTCAAGAATGAACATTAGAACAATTCTATTGATGCCAATAAGGAAGTTTATGTTTCTTCAGCTGAACTCATCCATTTGCATCTGCTTCCACAAATACGCCAGCAAAAATACTCAGGGTTCTGAAGTGACTGTATAGCTGGGCTTAGCTGGTACTTTTCCATTAATCAAATATCAATCTTAAAAACATTTCCAAGTTATACTGTTTTGGTTTTAAAGGATGAAAAAGTTTCTCCTATGAACTAGAAGAACGATGCAGATATAAAATGATTCCAGAAGTAGTGCAAGAGAATTAAAAACATAATTGACTAACATGCTTTCTCTAAAACGTTTTCTGAAACATTAAAGGTAATTCCATCAACGATAGTAATGGTGAAGAAGTAGTTTAAAAGAAGCATTACAGATATCTAACTAGACTTGAAAAGGTTCTGAACTGTGCAGTGATAAAATGCTAGAGGCAGCAGGCATAGATGGATAAAAACATCCTACTTTTGCTTTTTACCACCCATAGTGCTAAACAGGAGACAACACAGTAGGGTAACGAGACTCCAGCATACATCTAACTTCAGTGAGGTGTTTGTAAAACCCAAGCACGTTTTTCTTTGCCCAGGCTGGCACAAACACTAACTTAACCTACACTGTTTGTCCAATGTCTATTTATACACATAGCAGAGGTATGTAAGTGCTTCTGCATTTCACATGGCATGAAACATAACTAAAGACTGCTATAAAGAACGTTGCCTTCTCTCTCCATCAGTCAATCCTCCCTTCTTAAGAGCTTCAGCACCAGACTGCAAGGACCCTCTCTGCACAGGTATTTATCCACTGAGAAAAGGAAAGAAAATTTAGACCAGTTACTGAGTGTTCCTTGGAAAGACAGACACATTTGAGTGGAGATACGTAATGCACACATTTCCTTTCATTCTGCCTTCTTCACCTATCCATCTGTTCCTCCCTATTCCAATCCACCCTCTTGTCTTTTGCTTTCCTCCTTCTCTTCTCCCTACACACCTGCCCTTGTCCGTCTCCACAAATGACATTAGAAGCAAAATCTGCATGACTGCCAGTATTCTGGAATCCTGCCTGTACTTTCTATGTGCTACCCAACCATCACTGGTAAGCCAATTTCATAGAAAAATCATAGAAAATATCAGTAAGACAGTTCCCTCTTTCCAAATTCCCCACAATTTAACATGGGTGCACCAGCCTTTGTTTAGAAAGGATCAAGCACTTCCCTTGCACTTCACTTTCCTAAAGCAGGGCACATTTTGCTGCACACTCCAGCACACACTCCATTTGACCACATCTGCTGCTCAGCAGGTCTGAGCCTGATTTCCACAAACACCATGCACAAACTCAGCTGCCTTCAAGAGAGGGAACTGCACTAGGTAGTTCCTTTTCCATACACAGAAGGATCATATTTACATGAATTTGCTACTCCTAGGACACCAAGTTACTCTTCATTTTATTATTCCTCTTTTTTGCCCCCTAGAGCCAGGTCTAAATGCATATTACAAACACAATGAGAGATCATACAAACAGGGAATATGAATTTTATTTTTAGGAGAACTGAAATTAAATTATTTTCAAAAGGTAAATTTCAGTGTGTACTGTGTTCTTTTCACTTAATTCCATCCAGTAACATGCTCTGCAGCCAGTGACGGGCATTTTACAAAGAAAAGGTTATATTGCATCAAAGCTTACAAACTCTTAAGACTTCTAAATAGCTGCTGAATTCCTTGTGGAAACTCCCTCCTCATCCTTCCAATAGGAAACAGTGAACTTTAAGGAGATATTAAACTACTACATAATTGATTTTTTTAGGGTTTAAATAACCTATAAATATCACTGAAAAGACTTGCAAGTTAGCAGTTAGTCAAGTGAATTACCAAGTAAATATTAACTTACTGACCTCACTAAGATTTGCAGGCACAAACTGAAGATGAAGTATTTTTCCAGTCTCACATTTTCTCCCATGTTAAATTTATTGTTGAATGTACTTCAGTTTGTTTCTCTTCAGATGTACTAACACATGCTCCGTACGGACCCCGCTTTTCCTTTTCAGGCCTCTGGTTCACGTCACAGTGATTGATATACACAGGACATTTACAAAACAGTTTTGAAACACAGTAGCTAGAACTATAATAATGGAATAAAGCCTTAAAAAGCCAACTTGGATGCCACTACTGAGTTGTATCAATTCAGAATTATTCTGCAGAGCTTTATGGAAGGACACTTCCTCTCCTTCCCGGTCATTAGGATATAATAAATCAATCTAAGCATGCATATTGTCTTTATTTGCAAAAGTTTAATATTCTATATTGATTCTTGAAGAGGTGACTTTTTACTTTATTTTGGCAGCTTATTCTTTTAGATAATCAAGACTACTTAAGTCTCACTCGGCAACCTGAATTTTTTAGAGCTGTAGTCAAACAAAGCATCAAATACTTATCCATGTCCTCATTTGCATCCTGGGGCTATGGCACCTTTCACCAACTGCTGAAGGTATCAAAAAGCTGAAAACAAACAGAGGCTGCTTCTGCCCAGATTTTCTTCGCTCCAATAGTATGCTTCTACCAGTAAGAGAGAGAAAAAATGGCAACAGGAATGCTTCTGTCCAAATATTAACCCTGCATTCCAGTCACTTCCTAAAGTCATAATTTCTATGGCTAGAAACTTAGCAGTTGGCTATGGTGTGAGACTAACAATTCTGGATCTGTTGAAAAACCTCAATCAAATAGTTGTTTCAAGTAAATAATACTCCAGTTGTTTATATTTTAAAAAATCAGTATTTTAAAGTTTCATATTATTAAATTGGCAAAACCATCATGTGAAAAAGTCAAAAGTCATGAGAGCTTTTCAGGAATGGAAGGGTGAAAGAACAGAGTGCTTTGTCCTGGTAACCACTGCTGGAGGGGCAGTTAAGTACAAAGAAGTGTGCAAGATAATCCCAAAGGTAAAACGCAATTTCACACGATGTAGTTACATGAGATTGCAACAGTAACAGATACAACAGCAATTCTTTAGAAACAAGAAACTGAGAAATTACACTGATGAAATTCCATCAAGCCCTGAAGCGCGGAGCCCCTCAGGTCAGGTAGCGCAGGAGGCGCGCCGAGCACTAGAGGGCAGGGCAGCCCCGCTCCCGACAGAGCCGTGTCCCAGGATGAGCATAAACAGAACCCTCCAGGCTTTTAAATACCTCGTAACCAACACACCCGAAAGCGTTTGCAGGAGCAGGGGCACAAGTGTGATTAAAATGACACTTCTCACTACACTAATAATTTCTAATGATTTTTCTGTGTATCTGCATACACTACCATCTGGCATAGAGGCTGTAGTTTTCCCTCAAACAAGAGGTCTCAAAATACTTTTCAAAGGACACTGTTAACTACTGTCCATTATGAGGGAAAATTTAAATGCTCAGTAGTAGTGAAACATCAAGTCCAGAGTCAAAATTAGGCATGTCTTCCAATCTAAGTCTGTATTACATAAATTTTGGTAATGAACTAGAATAAACAACTGATTCGTGTTTGTTCACATGTAAGAAAATAAAGCAAAAGTTTCAGGCCAACTGGTGAGTAAAGCTAAACAGCAAAGAAAGCTCATACACAGACAGGTAAATAGAACTATTTTCATAGATTTATTTGAAAAATACTTACAAAAGCAAGTATGTTTGACACTAAAATAGTTAAACTTATTCTGTGTTTACATTGGTGTAATTAAGCGTGCAGCATTAACAGTCTTTTCTGCTTGAAGCATTGTTAGTTTGCCTTAAGGAAGTGGGGAAAATCAGGGTTTACTGATGAATGTCTCCCTGCCACTTCCTCTGCAGCAACTACACCTGTGATCTCTGCACGAGATCTCAGCACACTGAAAAGTGGGTTTGCTTTACTAACTGTGCTTTACTAACTGCCACCTGCCAAGTACAGATTTACTGGAACCTGGAAGGTGGGTCAGTTTTTTTTTCCTCAGGAAGTAACAGGA